AGGCTAAACATGCCCAGCTCCCTTAGCCGTTCCTCATAAGGCATCGTTTCCAGGCCTTTGACCATTTTGGTTGCCCTCCTCTGGACACGTTCCAGTTTGTCAGTGTCCTTCTTGAACTGTGGTGCCCAGAACTGGACACAGTACTCCAGGTGAGGTCTGACCAGAGCAGAATACAGTGGCACTATTACTTCCCTTGATCTAGATGCTAGATGCTTGATCTAGATGCTAGATGCTTGATCTTGATGCAGCCCAGAATTGCATTGGCTTTTTTAGCTGCCGCGTCACACTGTTGGCTCATGTCAAGTTTGTGGTCAACCAAGACTCCTAGATCCTTTTCACATGTACTGCTCTCAAGCCAGGTGTCACCCATCTTGTATTTGTGCCTCTCATTTTTTTTTTGCCCAAGTGCAATACTTTACATTTCTCCCTGTTAAAGTTCATCTTGTTTGTTTTGGCCCAGTTCTCTAATCTGTCAAGGTCGTTTTGAAGTGTGATCCTGTCCTCTGGGGTGTTAGCCACCCCTCCCAGTTTGGTGTCATCTGCAAATTTGATCAGGATGCCCTTGAGTCCATCATCCAAGTCGTTGATAAATATGTTGAATAAGACCGGGCCCAAGACAGAACCCTGTGGCACCCCACTAGTCACTCTTCTCCAGGATGAAGAGGAACCATTGATGAGCACCCTTTGGGTTCGGTCAGTCAGCCAGTTACAAATCCACTGAGTGGTAGCATAGTCAAGACCGCATTTTACCAGCTTCTTTACAAGAATATCATGGGGCACATTGTCAAATGCCTTGCTGAAATCAACTTTAATCTACTTCATAGCCCTCTGAGCTGTTGGCCGCCACATTTTGTGGCAGCACATGCTATGCCCAATTTGAAGATGTGATTTATTTTATACTGTGTAAACAAGGAATAACTAATGTTGCCGGACTACAACTCCCAACATTCCTTGGCCACTGGACAGCATGGGGTGGGGCTGATGGGAACTGGGATCCAATAACATGCAGAGGACCACAGGTTCTTTACCCTTGTGATATAGTGAGATGCTGGGTTGAAATATGGCTCTTAGAGATGCAAACTGGTTAACTAATTTCCGGAAATAAATGAGAAGTTAAGTCAGAGAGGAAGTTTTAGAAGTAGGGAAGGGATTTTAAATGAAGACAGCAAAGCCCTGGGACTGTGAGTTCTGCAGCAGCTTTTTATTGTAAATGTCAGACCATTCCTTTCTATATTTGGAAATGGACAGGAAACATATGTGGAAATAGCTGCTGCTTCTGCTCTCAAAGAGCAACTGGGAAATATGACTTTACACACACACACAAACACACATACACACACAGTATTTTGGAGGCAGGAATCAACTACTTCACAGTGTGGCCTCCTGCCTGCCTCAACATAAATAACCCCACCAATGCAAAAGAGACACACAGATGCAGATCTGATCAGAGTTATCTTTACAGAGTTATCTTTAGCCTCTTGGGGAACTTGGCACCTCTTAGAAAAAAACTAACGTTTCAGTGAAACCAAATACAGATAAATGGAACTAACAGGCAGAGTTATGCCAAAGTGAACACCTTGGAGTCTCTGTATTCTGTCAGAGAGCATAAATTCCACCAATCGGACTTGGTCAGCACTGCAGCTGCTAGTTTGTTTTGGGGCATTTTTGATGAGCTTACAGCACAGTTGTAACGATCCCAGTAAAAACCCCAGTTTCCTAAAGCTGCTGTCAGAGGGAAATCACTACTGTTACTAATTAGAGATTAGCAACTTCTTAAGAGAGATTTTTGGCCTATTAAGCAACGCATAAAAAAAGCTTTTAAACAAATAAAGAAGGGCCAGATTCCACCAAGTTGTTGTACTTGCAAGAGCCTGCACAACAAGACCTGCTAGGATGGCAAGGCTTTCATCCTCCTCTCATCCGCCATGCCTGTGCACTCTGCGTCCCTCTCTAATCTTTTTGGGAAGGGCAGGAGAAACACCAGAACAGTGTACGGGGAAAGGAGAGGGGACATCACTCCAGTAAAGGTAAAGGTAAAGGTACCCCTGACCATTAGGTCCAGTCGTGGACGACTCTGGGGTTGCGGCGCTCATCTCGCTTTATTGGCCAAGGGAGCCGGCGTACAGCTTCCGGGTCATGTGGCCAGCATGACTAAGCCGCTTCTGGCGAACCAGAGCAGCGCACGGAAACGCCATTTACCTTCCCACCGGAGCGGTACCTATTTATCTACTTGCACTTTGACGTGCTTTCGAACTGCTAGGTTGGCAGGAGGTGGGACCGAGCAACGGGAGCTCACCCCATTGCGGGGATTCGAACCGCCGACCTTCTGATTGGCAAGCCCTAGGCTCTGTGATTTAACCCACAGCGCAACCCACATCCCATCACTCCAGTAGACAAGCAGAAATGCTTATGCTGACGGAGTAATCTGCTCAGCACGACACTGAATTCCAATTTGTAGGAATCCAATTTGTGTGTGCTCTCCTCTTCCAACCGGTCTCATAATTTCCAGAATAGGAACAACATGCCTACACTGATTCCCAGATGTTTCCAATATGGGTGACACAGTACAGAGGTATCTTGTATGTGCCTCATTCAGCACTGACTCATCGAAATCTCCTTCCCTGGCGGAAAAGGCCATGGCACTGCATCGCTGTCATTTCAGGCAAAGCAAGACTTGGATCCTATTCTCCTGATGAAATCAAAATGAAGGCAGTAGATCGCTTTTCATCAGCATTTCTTACATATAACAAGGAGGTCCCAATATTTGCCCACTACATGGCATCAAAGGGGTAAGGAAAGAAGGAAGGAAACCAAGCTCCACAATGCATTAACAAACTTTGAGCCCATGAGAAAAATCAGGCCACTTCAAAATACAATGGTAAGGTACCCCTGCCCGTACGGGCTAGTCTTGCCAGACTCTAGGGTTGTGCGCCCATCTCACTCTATAGGCCGTGGGCCAGCGCTGTCCGGAGACACTTCCGGGTCACGTGGCCAGCGTGACATCGCTGCTCTGGCGAGCCAGAGCCGCACACGGAAACGCCGTTTACCTTCCCGCTTGTAAGCGGTCCCTATTTATCTACTTGCACCCGGGGGTGCTTTCGAACTGCTAGGTTGGCAGGCGCTGGGACCGAACGACGGGAGCGCACCCCGCCGCGGGGATTCGAACCGCCGACCTTTCGATCGGCAAGCCCTAGGCGCTGAGGCTTTTACCCACAGCGCCACCCGCGTCCCAGTTAAAATACAATGGTACCTCAGGTTAAATACTTAATTCATTCCGGAGGTCCGTTCTTAACCTGAAACTGTTCTTAATCTGAAGCACCACTTTAGCTAATGGGGCCTCCCGCTGCTTCTGCGCCACTGGAGCATGATTTCTGTTCTCATCCTGAAGCAAAGTTCTTAACCCGAGGTACTATTTCTGGGTTAGTGGAGTCTGTAAGCTGAAGCCTATGTAACCTGAAGCGTTTGTAACCCGAGGTACCACTGTAATCCTGATCACAACTCCAGCGCTTTGCGAGAAATGAGAGACAGTCTGTCAGTATCTCTCCTAGTGATTTACAGACCGATAATAAGCATCTTTGGGTATTTATCTCTCTGTAAACATGTGGTGCTATTTTTAAGATAATCCCCACTAAGAGGGCACTGTCCATCAAAATTTGAACTTTGGCTAGTACATCAAGGTTAAAACTGGGAACACTGAAATTATTATCGAGTCCAAGGACTCCCTCTCAAGTGGGAACTATCCCCAGTAACCGCAGCGACAGTAAGAATACAAGATTTCCTATTCTATGAATCTGCTGGCAAGCACTTGAAAAACTGTGTTCAATGTTGTATGAGGAAATCTGAAAGTCCAAGACAGCTAAAACACGCATATAAGTATAAGGCACTTTCTGATGTTCCAGTTGGTTGTTTAGGGTGGAGGAGCTCTTTGTTTTGTTTGGCTTTGGGTGTGTACATTTTGCTATTTGAGCATCACCAGCAGACCCTCCAAGTGTCCCTATTTTCCAGAGACAGTCCTGAATTTACAGACGCCATCCCAGTTTCTGATTTGATCCCGGAATGTCCCGCTTTTCCTTAGGATGTCTCTATTTTCATCAGGGAAATGCTGGAGGGTATATAGTTATGTGGCCCTACAGTCAAGGACATGGGTAGGCAAACTAAGGCCCGGGGGCTGGATCTGGCCCAATCACCTTCTAAATCCAGCCCCCGGGTGGTCCGGGAATCTGCGTGTTTTTACATGAGTAGGATGTGTCCTTTTATTTAAAATGCATCTCTGGGTTATTTGTGGGGCGTGCCTGGTGTTTTTACATGAGTAGAATGTGTGCTTTTATTTAAAATGCATCTCTGGGTTATTTGTGGGGCACAGGAATTCATTCATTATTTTTTTCCAAAATATAGTCCAGCCCCCCACAAGGTTTGAGGGACCGGCCCCCTGCTGAAAATGTTTGCTGACCCCTGGTCAAGGAGATAAATAACTATACAACCTTTAGAAGACATCTGAAGGGAGTCCTGTAAAGGGAAGTTTATAAATGTATAATGTTTTATTATGTTTTCATATATGTCAGAAGCCTCCCAGAGTGGCTGGGGCAACCCAGTCAGATGATAATATCATCATCATCATCATTACTACTGCTACTACTGCCACTATTGAGTAGGACGTCCCTATTTTCATCAGATAAATGTCGGAGGGCATGCACCAGTTTGTATTCTGTGAAATGGGTACTTTATGGTGCCTGTAACAATTTATTCAACTTCCAAACGTGCCCGAACCCAAAAATGTTGGGCCTCCCTGATCTAAGTCTTCCATGGCAAGGATGCTACAGCCAGTGAAGGAGGAAGAGGTCAGTGCTATCGGACTTAAACAGAGGATACATCCTAACTTCCCTTCCAGCTTTTTGCCTGAATTTTGATAAGGGAGCTTATAGAAAACAATATCCTGATTTCTGCACACGTACTGCGAAAGAGGCGAACAAGCCTTAGAAATGAATGAGTGCAGCAGTTACCTCTTCTTGTTTGCCATCTCCCCGTGTAGGGACCGACACTGCCCGCATAGTCACACTTCTCAGCCCAAGGCCCATTATCTCCTAGGAGGGAAAGAAAACTCCTTGTTGAAAACAGAACGGGAAAGTCCTTTCAATTCAAAACAAGGAGAACTAGCAAGAAAGTTAATAGAGCATGCTACTGTTCCCCATCAAACCCCTTCAAATGAACCTTAATATGTTAATAAAGCTACTTCCAATGAATGATTATGGGCAGTACCAAAAGCTTCCTTTTAATATTGTTACCAATATAATGGCTTATAATGGCTTAAAGGTAAAGGTAAAGGGACCCCTGACCATTAGGTCCAGTCGTGGCCGACTCTGGGGTTGTGGCGCTCATCTTGCTCTATAGGCAGAGGGAGCCGGCGTTTGTCCGCAGACAGCTTCTGGGTCATGTGGCCAGCATGACTAAGCTGCTTTTGGCAAACCAGAGCAGCGCACAGAAACGCCATTTACCTTCCCGCGGGAGCCGTCCCAATTTTTCTACTTGCACTTTGATGTGCTTTCGAACTGCTAGGTTGGCAGGAGCTGGGACCGAACAACGGGAGCTCACCCCGTTGCGGGGATTCGAACCGCCGACCTTCTGATTGGCAAGTCCTAGGCTCTGTGGTTTAACCTACAGTGCCACCCGCGTCCCTATATAATGGCTTACACCGAACTAAAAAATAATAATAAAAGCAAGAGTCACAAGAACATTCAGAAAACACCAGAGTTCAAGGGAGGCTTTATTTGCAGGCAAATGGCTTCTTTGTTTGCTTCTAAATGGGCTGGTACCCTGTCCTTTTTTTCCAGACAGAGCGCATTTCCGGCACCTCTCAGGTGGGTACCATTGTGAGCCGGTGCTCCCCCCCCCCCCACTCCATGCTTTTACATACTTCCAAGAAGCCCAAAATAAACATTTAAGTCAAAACAGAAGCTGGCCTGCTTGTACGAGTCTACATTATTTTGAGATCAATGACTCCACCTAGCTCCATGTTCCTAGCTGCCACTGGTCAAGCTACAGGGTGGGACCAATTTTGTATTTTCTTTTCTTTAATCCATCTCCCGTGTAGCGGCAGCGGGCCTCTGGATTCTTTATTAAAAGGTTACAAAGGATACAGAACAATCAGCAAAATTGATAGTAAATAAATTATCGACTGAGACTTGTAAGATAACTAAAGGCACTAGACAAGGTTGTACGATGTCATCTTTATATTAGTTTTAGAAGTTTTGGCACAAAGAATAAAAATAAGAATAAATTAAAGGAATAAGGGTGGGAAAGAGACAATACAAATTAAAAGCATTTGCAAATGATGTGGTGATATCTGTAAAAGAACCAACGGAGTCAATTCCGAAAGCATTAGAAGAGATCAATTTTTCTGGAGAAATAGCAGGTCTTAAAATTAATAAAAATAATACCAAGCTCCTGGTAAAAAACATGAATGATGAGAGTAAAAATAAATTACAAAATATACCAGGGCTACAGATTGAAAAGAAGGTTAGGTATTTATTGTGTATGGTTAACAGCAAAGAATATAAATCTACAGTGGTGCGCCGCAAGACGAATGCCTCACAAGACGGAAAACCCGCTAGACGAAAGAGTTTTCCGTTTTGGAGGTGCTTCGCAAAACGAATTTCCTATGGGCTTGCTTCGCAAGACGAAAATGTCTTGCGAGTTCCTGCAGGGTCCCCCCCCTTTTCCCAAGCTGCTAAGCCGCTTATCAGCTGATCCGCTAAGCCGCTTAACAGCTGATCCGCTAAGCCGCTAAGCCGCTTAACAGCTGATCGCTAAGACGCTTATCAGCTGATCCGCTAAGCTGCTAATAGCGCTAAGCCGCTAAACCACTAATGGGCTTGCTTCGCAAGACGAAAAAAACCACAAGACGAAGAGACTCACGAAACGGATTCTTTTCGTCTTGCAAGGCACCACTATATATAAAGATAATTATTTGAAAGACAACGAACTTTTTAGAAAGGAATGGAAGTGGTTTATTATTACAAACTGTAAACAAATCAAGACATTGACAGGATTATTGTAAAAACCTGCAGTTTTAAAAAAATATATGAGAATAGATGATTAAAAGAACAAGTTAAGGCAATTTGGAGTATGCAGGAAAGGACGAAAATAAATGTAAGGAACCGCAGAAAGAAGGGGAAGGGAGTCAAAAATGTTAAAACTTGGTTAAATAATTGTTGTAATGTATATAAATGAAAATTATATATATATATATATATATATATATATATATATATATATATATATGCAGGTTTTGGTGTCCTCGGGTGTCTTCCCGTGTAAAAGTTGGGGTGTCTAGGCGACGTTTCGACGAGGTCTCACTCGTCATCTTCAGGCTGGTGCTTTCGGCTTCTTGTTACTGGAACAGAGCAGGATCTCAGTGTTTGAGTTCCTATAAATACTGTTGAGGGGGTGTGGTGTATAGCCTCCAATGTTCTGGGTAGAGAGGAAGTTCCCAGGCTAGTGTGCTTTTTCTTCTTTTGTTCCTTAATTACTTGAGGGATATCTTGAGTGATTTCTTGAGTGATATTCTGAGTACCACTTAGGTGGGTCATTAGGTGTGGATTAGTTGCTAAAGCCTTCGTGTCTTGACCTCTTGAGCTTTGTGAAGAGTTTTTCTGAGAAGATGGCTGTACTGCACTTAGTTGTGCTCTGGCTTGGCTTCGTGTATAGGGGCGAGCTGTGGTTTTGTGTCCTGTGCCAGCCAGATCTGTGTAGGGATTGCAGGGGGGTGCAGCATCCGGAGGTGCCACCATGGTTTGGCTACTGGATGGTGTCTGTAATTTATCTGTGGAGAGGGTCTGGGTTTGGGTCTGGTGTGGTTGATTGGTGATGGCGTTCTGTGTGCCTCTGGATCTGGTGTCGGTTTTTGTGGGGAGGGCTAATTTCCAGATGTCTGGCAGGCGGGATGTGTCGTCACGCTTGTTCATGTTGTGAGGGTGTTTCTCTATCTCGATGGCTTCCATGATTATTCTCTTGTGGTGATGTTCCATGTTAAAGAGCAATTTGGAATCTGCAAAATTAATTTCGTGTCCTGTTTCTTTCATGTGTTGGAAAAGAGAGGAAGTTTTTTCTTCTTTTTTGACGGCATTCTTGTGTTCTGCGATACGTGCATTTATTCGTCTGTTTGTTTGTCCAATGTACGTGGCTGGGCAGACTTTGCAGGGTATTTCATAGACCCCTTGGTTTTCCAACTGGATTTTATCCTTGGGGTTTCTGAGGATATTGGCTATTTTTTGGTTGGTGCAAAAGGCTGTTTTGATATTGTGTTTATGGAGGATTTTGCTAATTTTATCTGTAGTGCCCTTGAAATACAAGAATAAACACAAAAAAAACACAAGAATGCCGTCAAAAAAGAAGAAAAAACTTCCTCTCTTTTCCAACACATGAAAGAAACAGGACACGAAATTAATTTTGCAGATTCCAAATTGCTCTTTAACATGGAACATCACCACAAGAGAATAATCATGGAAGCCATCGAGATAGAGAAACACCCTCACAACATGAACAAGCGTGACGACACATCCCGCCTGCCAGACATCTGGAAATTAGCCCTCCCCACAAAAACCGACACCAGATCCAGAGGCACACAGAACGCCATCACCAATCAACCACACCAGACCCAAACCCAGACCCTCTCCACAGATAAATTACAGACACCATCCAGTAGCCAAACCATGGTGGCACCTCCGGATGCTGCACCCCCCTGCAATCCCTACACAGATCTGGCTGGCACAGGACACAAAACCACAGCTCGCCCCTATACACGAAGCCAAGCCAGAGCACAACTAAGTGCAGTACAGCCATCTTCTCAGAAAAACTCTTCACAAAGCTCAAGAGGTCAAGACACGAAGGCTTTAGCAACTAATCCACACCTAATGACCCACCTAAGTGGTACTCAGAATATCACTCAAGAAATCACTCAAGATATCCCTCAAGTAATTAAGGAACAAAAGAAGAAAAAGCACACTAGCCTGGGAACTTCCTCTCTACCCAGAACATTGGAGGCTATACACCACACCCCCTCAACAGTATTTATAGGAACTCAAACACTGAGATCCTGCTCTGTTCCAGTAACAAGAAGCCGAAAGCACCAGCCTGAAGATGACGAGTGAGACCTCGTCGAAACGTCGCCTAGACACCCCAACTTTTACACGGGAAGACACCCGAGGACACCAAAACCTGCATTCCTGTACCCGTGAAAATCTACGAAAGCATATATATATATATATATATATATATATATTAAAAGGATGGCAATTTTGAACAAAAGTGTTAGTGTGGAAGAAACCCAGGAAAGATGCTTGCCATAATGGCTGGATGCTATTGAAGTTAACAAGCAGGGGATAAATATGCTACCTAGAATAACTAACTATAGGCTGTTGTTGTTGTTTTAATGAATTCAATGACACAAATGCCACCTTATCAGTTAAGCTGCCTTGCGGCCTGAGAGAAACTGAGTAGAAGGAAGTGGTCAAGTCCTGTGATGGATGGTCAAGGAACCAGATGCTTGGTTGAAGGACAGGGACCAAGTGCTCCTTCAGTCATGTCAAGCTTTTCAAAAGAGCCAGGTCTGAGCATCAGTGAGGCCACTCAAAGGCATCTATCACACCCCAACCATACACGTAAAGCACATTTATACCATTTTGGCAGTCATAGCTTCCCCAAAACAATGCTGGGAACTGTAGTTTACGACCCACAGAGCTACAATTCCCATCACCTTTAGCATACTACAGTTTCCAGCGTTCTGGGGGTTGTTTTTTTTTTGGTTGGGGGGCCATGATTGCTAAAGTACAGTGGTACCTCGGGTTAAGTACTTAATTCGTTCCGGAGGTCCATTCTTAACCTGAAACTGTTCTTAACCTGAAGCACCACTTTAGCTAATGGGGCCTCCTGCTGCTGTCGTGCTGCCGGAGCACGATTTCTGTTCTCATCCTGAAGCAAAGTTCTTAACCCGAGGTACTATTTCTGGGTTAGCGGAGTCTGTAACCTGAAGCGTATGTAACCTGAAGCGTCTATAACCTGAGGTACCACTGTAGTTAAGAGTGTTTTAAATGTATGCTGTGGATCCGACCTGAGTCACTACTCTCTCCAGGCACTAAAAGAAACTCAAGACATAAAAGTACCATATATATATATTTATTGAGGAAGAAAACCAGCCTTCCAGTCTATGGGTTGCAAACTTAAGGAAAGGAAACGAGTCAGGCTTGGATCTTAATGAGCCAAATGTGATCTCATTAAAAATGGATTTAGGGACTGGAAATTCCGTTTCAATTAAGTGGGGATTTGTGCTTTGATTTTTAGACGTGGATGACAAGGTTTGTCCTTTTGACTGAAATGACACAGTCAAATGAAGATAACCCAACAATAACAGACGTGTTCCCAAGTTTCACAGTCTGGGAATGTGAAACAGAAGGAGTCCTGAATGAAGCACTTAGAGATGCAATGAGTCTTAGCTCGAAGGCTAAGCATATCGAGTCATACCCTCCAATGTTTCTCCAATGAAAATAGGGATGCCCCATTCCATAATGATATTTTTACTATTTACTGTATACCCCACACATATCTTACTGGGTTGCCCCAGCCACTCTGGGCAGTTTCCAACATGTATAAAAACATAATAAAACATTACATTTTTTTAAAAAAACTTGCCTATACAAGATTGCCTTCAGATGGCTTGGGGGGGGGCAGATAACTCCATACCCTTCAACATTTCTCCAGTGAAAATAGGAATATCCTAAGGAAAAGCGGGACATTCAGGGATCAAATCAGAAACCAGGACGGCTTCTCTAAATCAGGGACGCCCCTGAAAAATAGGGACACTTGGAGGGTCTGTCGAGTTAACTCTGCTATTGCACATGTTCAAGAAAACTGGGGCTTGGGTGACAGGCTTTCAGCTGCCTCAGAGAAGAGCGGATTTCAGTGCACTAAGCCCTCAGCTGTATGAATCTATAGATCACCTTGAGGCACACATCCTATTATGGGTCAAACAAATAGATTTGGGTTCAGTCCAGCTTGAGGGCAAACGGGAGCTCCCTCAATAGACTGTCATGTGCAGGGTGCAGTAGAGTGTGTGCTGAGCTGTAGCGTTATTGAAGCTAAGCAGCTGCAGACCTGGCCAGGTCCTTGGATGGGAGACCATGGGTAGCCTCACGCAAGAACGGGACACAGCACATGAAGAAATATTTTCAAGAACAGAATGTAATGTGCAGAGGCAGGATATTCCGACCAATTAATCAAACTGACAGTCCCTTCTCTGCAACCTGAGGCTAGCTGGGGCTGACTGGAGTTGCGGGTCAAAACATCTAGAGGGTACCAGGTTGGCCAAGCCTGATGTGAGCTGGAAGGGTCTCCAAGGGTCAGGTTGTCCAAAGCCCTGCAGTGCAGGAAAAGTGGGCCTTCCCTATTGCCTGAAAGGTCCCCTCCTTACCCCACTGATGAAATTAGGCTTGAAAGAAGCATTCCATTACAGGCAACAGATTATAGGGTTCAATCTGGTTTACAAATAGGCTTATGGGCCCCAAAACATTGGCAGCCCCTGATAGCGTGTTACACAGTTTCTAAAGACCATACAAGAGAGCACTGTTTATTCAAGTTTTTCAAAGCTCCCCTCAGATCAACTTGGAAATTACCCAGGTTCTTAGCGGGGGGTGGGGAGAGAGATTTGAAGATGTCAGGTAGTTATTTATTTTTAAACCAACTGAAGGATCCTTTTTCTTCCCCTACAGAAATGAATGGCAGCCATCGGCGGGTGGATGGGGGGGGGAGGGGACAGAGGGTCCTCCCCAAAGAACAGATTTTCCCATCAGCCTCCAGTTTTCCCCCCACACCTCTTGAAACCAGGCCTATGCAACACAGCGGTGTATGACGTAGCTCCTTTATGTTGCTCTGGGCCAATTTTAAAGAAGCTTGTGGGGGACTTTGGCAACAGAAACAATATCGTCTGCAGCTGCCAAAAAAAACCCTTCAAAATCCCTGGCTGGCAAAGTCTTTACTCAGGGTAATGCCAAGCCTTTGCCAGTCAGGGAAGACAGCAAATCTTCATCCACTCCGATTTCAATTTGGGCAGAAGCTCTGTGCAGAAGAACTTGTCGCAGGGTGGAGGGGGGCAAATCTTTAAAAGTTTGCCCCTCTTTTTACGAGACCCTGAAGTTCTTTTCCTGGGTTGCGAGAACTGCCGTGGCACCCTTACTGAAATCTGCCCTATCCAAATGTTCCTTTTCTTCTTTTTTATGATTCTTTTTTGTCAGATTCTTTCCCCTCCCCCTAGTTTTCCGTAAGACGTGTGAGGTAAATAAGGCTCAGGGATAATAACTAGCTCAAGGTCCCCTTTGAGCTTAATGGCTGAGAGAGGATTTGAATCCAAGGCCAACACGCCACAACATTTTGCTGGAACAAGGCACGGTGTTGTACATTTCCATTTATTAATTTATTCAGGCTGCTTTGTGTTAACGCAGCTGAAGCCAAGGAAAGCCTCATAACATTCCCTCTAAAACCAGCCACCTAAGGTACCTTTGTTACAGTGACTGGGGTTGTATCGCTTCACCTGTGAACCAGAGGAGTGTGTTTTCCTTCACGGTGTTGTCAACTTCATCTTTTATTCGTCCCACCAGGGCATCCATCTCCCTCAGGTTTGCTCCGTATGGATCTTGTCCAGGCAGGTCCCATGTTGGCTGAGCCAACGTCAAAGGCACATGCATATGAGCCAGGGCGATATATAGGAAGAATGGGTGTCCACTCCGGCTAGAGAGAAAACACAGAAAGGCACACTGGTTAATTAAATGGAGGAAGGCATGACTTGGTCAGAATGGAGGCTGCATGGCTGCCCAACAGTCTATTACTACGGCCATGATAATATAACATCTTTCCACTCAGCTGGCCTGAAATTGTAAGAGATTCTTTCTCCAAAATTGCAGTGGTTCTGCTTATTTAAGTCTGTGTTTTTCAAACCAAACAGGGGACCTCATCATGTCCACCATAGATGTCCCCAGACTGCTTGTTGCAGAGGAAGCTAAGCCACGTTCTAAGAACCACTGTCAGTTCATGCAGGAACATTAGCTGGGCTGTTGAGCCTCGCCATTGTCCCCAAGTAAACTAAGAGTGCTGTTCAGAATGTAACCAATCCTTTTCTGTAACTGTGCATTGCAAGGGAAGTGCTGGTCAGGAAAACTTGTCAGCCACTACTGATATTCTCACTGAGGCATACTTCTGAGGAACCCAAACCACGAGTTTGAAAATCACCAATTTAGGCCACGCCTGCACTGTTGTCGGGCAAAAGAAGCTGAGGAGTGGGCAGTGTATCCCTTGATTCAGGAATCACAAAACACCAGAGAGTAATGCAACAACGCGGCTTCAGTAACAACACAAACAGCGATTCAGGTGGTGTCAGTACAGTGATACCTTGGTTTACGAACTTAATCCATTCCGGAAATCCTTTCTTAAACCGAAGTGTTCTTAAACCAAGGCGTGCTTTCCCATAGCAGCGGGGGACTCAATTTACAAAGGGAACACACTCAACAGGAAGCAGTACATGTTCTGCTTCCAAGGCAAAGTTCACAAACCAAAACACCTACTTCCAGGTTTGCAGCATTCTTAATCCAAGTTGTTCATAAACTAAGCTGTTCTTAAACCAAGGTACTACTGTATAATGAAGACGACTGCAACCTACATAGTGCAAATTCTTGGATGTACATTCAGTATACAGCTGCAAATCTGGAAAAGAAAAGTATTCCTTCCTTCCTATTTCCCATATGGAGATTTATTTATTTTTTTGCTAAATCAGATTTAACAGGAAGATGCTCCAAGGACAGGTCTGACATCAACACATGGCGCTCTCAGGCAAATCATGCAGGCATCCTTTTCATTAAAAGAAGAAGAATTGCAGGCCTGGCACCATGTGGACACAGGCACTAGGTTGGAGAACTTATACTCTCAGTGGTAGGATGCAGTGAAAGAAGCATTGGGTGGATTGAACCTCCAGTGCCTGCAAAGTCCCTGGGAAGCGGCTCTTCCAGAGACCAGGGCTCCCTTAAACTGGCATAGGTTGGTGTTGCCAAAAAGCCTGGCCACTGAAGCACACTATCCACCCCCTCCCCTTTAAATTAAAACAGGACGCACAATTCACTCTCTAACAACAACAATAATAATACCTTTATTGTCATTATACAACCTGTGTACAATGAAATTAAAGCTCTGGAAGTAGGCGCAATCAGAGCAGGGACTCAGGCAGGGACGCCGTCAATCACTCCCAGTGCCAAGGAACAGAAGAACTGCTTAGCAGCAGAGGTTAAATGAAAGGAAGCACTCCCAGAGCCTCTTGGCATCCTTTGTTCTATTAGGTAATTCTGCATGACACTCTGGTGATTCTCTCTCTCTCTCCCCCACCCACCCACACCCTGGCAAGTGTACTCAGTTTGGGAATGACAGTTGCAGATGGCTCCATGGTTGAGAATAACAATGTCTGTTTTCACCCACAGAAACAGTTGCCGAGTGCCCCTTTATCAAGCATAGCATATATCCTTAGCAAGGGAAAAAGGGATAGTAGTTATTCCTAGCAAGAAGTACAGGAGGAAGGAGATTAAGGTGAAAGGAGGAGAAATTACATCAGGAACTGGAGTCTGCTGTCTTCCACCACCGGAAATAAACTGATGGACCTGGGAGTGGGGGAGATGAAGAGAAACACACCCCGCAACCAGGAAATTAGTCTGGAAGCATCATTGTGCAAGAGGTAAACCTGGAGCAGAAGAATAGTAATTCCATAAGAGGACAAATCATGTAGTATTAAGACTTGACTTTGTGCGACTTTGGTTTAAATGCTTACTTTTGTGGGTGAAAGGAGAACATGGGAAAGTGATTCTTTGCAGACCAACCCAGGTCCAACCCTCATGCTGCAAAGAAACCAAACTGCACTGAACTGCCATAGATACTACAGGCAAAAGAGGTTCCCCTGTGTTTCACAGATGCAACCAAGGCTCATGCCTAGGGCTGGGCGATATATCAACATATCGTTCAAAACCGGTTTGAAGTTCATATCATGATACAATATCGGTTTCATAGCTTCTGACCTGGAAATATATTGCAAATCATGATGTGTGTGTGCTATGCAAAAATCACAATGTGGGAACAAAAGTGAAGCCAGCCAATGACTCTACATAGCTTACTTAATAAATAATAAAAAATAATAAATTTTATTTATACCCCGCCCTCTCCAGCCAAGACCAGGCTCAGGGCGGCTAACAACCGATATAACAACAAATTGATTGAAATACAACTTTAAAAAGCAAGATTAAAATACAACATTAAAACATTAAAATGCAGCCTCATTTCAATGCAAATTCAAATCAAAAACTTTTTTGGGGATGAAAACGCCAAGTCTTCATGAAGGCTAACTATCCAGACTGGTCCTACATGGGCCAGAAAAAAGCCAGGGAAGTCTCCCATCACAGGAGGAGAATGGAAAAAAGAAAGAGGGGGAGGGAATCAAATTGGATTCCAAGCCAAAGGCCAGGCGGAACAACTCTTGTCTTACATGCCCTGAGGAAAGAAATCAGATCCTGCAGGGCCCTGGTCTCATGAGACAGAGCGTTCCACCAGGCCGGAGCCAGTATTGAAAAGGGACTGGCTCTGGTTGAGGCTAATCTAACTTCCTTAGGGCCCGGGACCTCTAGGGTGTTGCAATTTATCGAGCTTAAGGTCCTCCGTGGGGCATACCGGGAGAGGCGGTCCTGTAGGTACGAGGGTCCTAGGCCGTGAATTTCAGACATTGTGATATATCGGTATATCGTGATGTTTAGCTGGTGATATATCACAATGTTGAAAACCAGATAGCGCCCAGTCCTACTCATGCGAGGTAGCAACTTCTTTCTGTAGCTACCTTGAGTATACTTCTGTGTAGAAAGGTGAGAGGTACATCACAGGTTAAACAAGCAAACAAAAAGTTGAGTTGAATGACACACAAGCCCTCTCCAGGTGTTCTGCAAGCATGCTAAAAAATACGTCACACTTATTGCCCTCGGCAAGTTGGAGGGTGACCGTCAGAAGTAGGGAGCCTCCAAACTCATGTGGCTCCCTGCACATTTTAGAATCTTGGCATAAGTTCTAGAACCCTGATAAGGTTCTAGCTCCACCTCCTTCATCATTCTCCAGGAGATTAGAAGGCTCATTTCAGAAAGTCGCCCTCCAACTTAACAGAGGGTGATGAGAACAAAGACCAGATCATGGATGTTTAGTTAACACACTTGCGGAACATCTGAAGAGGGTTACATATCCTTGGCTTCTCCCTTTCCCGCTGGTCCAGGAGCCATTCTTTAAGGCACTTTTTATAAATCACAGGAGATGTTTGATCCCTTTAGTTCAACAGCCTCATAAACATGCCCAGGGCAGCTAATCAGAGCAAGTTTAAACATCAATAAAGACGCAAGTCGGTTGAAATTATGTGATAAGGATAAGGTGGAACGGGTTCAAAGAGAGGGTTCAAAGAGTCCAAATCAAGACTCAGTGAGCAGTAGATGCGTCCAAAGGAGCAAAAATCTAAGTGCGCCAGCTCTCAGCTCCTAAGAAAAGGTACTTAACGGCAAGGTAATCTCTGGAAGAATCGCTGTACCTGCCTCAAGTACTGACCTTTGGAGCTATCTGTAGCAGCAAAGCTGTCTTTCGCTTTCGTACCTTAAGAATGGTTCTGTGGCGTATTAGTGCAGTCCACGAGGCAGGTGCACCCTGGATGTGAACCAGGAAAACAACTGGCCTGCACATTCTGTGCTGCAAACCATTTTTTGCAACGCATCAATTTAGGATAGAAAAATATAAAATGATCATTAGCCCTTCTTCCTGCTGGAACCAAAAGGCCGTCAGTGTAGCAGTCCTTTCAGAACCATGCTCTTGTTAGTGCAGGCGACACCCTGCGAGGAAGTCTTAATGGTTTAAAATGGCCTGTATTTGAGTAATGGAGGTGGCGGAGGGAGGTATAATGCCTCGATCTAAGCCAGTCACATGAGCAAAAAAAAATTGAACTCAGCGATTCCCAAGCACCACATCAATGTGACCAAACTCCCACCCCAATCTCTCACCTAATTGTCCGTTCTCAAAACCTCCAGTTTCTTTAAACAGCAGCCTCACCCACCATTTCAGTATGAATTTCTGAAGAGCGCAACAAATGTATGGTTGGCTTCTGCATTTGCAGACTAAGATATGGGATGCAAAGCAGCCAGTGAATTTACTCAAAAGGTGGCTCTGAACAGCCCAACCACTGCACTTCGATTCTAGCATCTGCAGAAAATTGGGAGAGGGGGAAGAACCCCAAGCTTTGGCAGTGGTGTTGCTCTTTCCTGTTATGAGCAGATAATCAAATTTTCTGTTGACATGTCCTAGGTTTCTTCTGTTTACTTTTTTCTCCCCTGTTGCTAAGTGCCTCTTTGGAGATTTGAGGCCTATGTGCACAGCACAAGGCTCCGCCCTGAGTGACTGGCTTCAAAAAAGCTGACAGCAGTCATTTCCTCTCCCACAACCTAGTTCCTAATTGCATTAGCTTTTTATTTCCCTGAAGTGATATGCAGACAACGGCTTCTCTCGACACCGCCAACTGTTTTGTTGCAACAGGATGAAGCAGAGCTTGGGCGCTATCCACCTTCCGTTGCAATTTCCTTCTCAAAACGGCCTTGACCCCAACGCTGCATTGCTAATGAACTTCTTCGCACATCACTTCTCAACAAACCTGTTCATGCCATTTAAAGTATAGTCGATATTTT